AAGATAGGCTAACTTAGAAAAAAGGCCTCCTGCAGTGGGCGAATCTTAGGCGCATTTACGAAAAAGATTAAATTTCTCCAGCGGGATTTTTTAGTATTTCAATTTTCAAAAAATATTTTGGGTACAACTTTAAAAATCTGAATCGGCAGAAAGATGCAGCTTTTCGAGTTCTATAAGGCACCCTTAAATGAGAGGAGGCCTCCTGCAGGCGGCTAATATTAGGCAATTTTACGCGAATCTGCTGCCAACTTAACTCACCTAAGCGAAAGTTCATAGATTAGAAATATGGCAATCGGAAATTTTTTCACTGTTACTAATAGATTCTGATTTGGTACTTGATTTTCCCATGGAATTAGACATACCTGCATCGAGCGATGACAGTACGCATTGAAATTTTGAGCCAGCATCAACTCTTTGAAAATTATCTCAGATTTTCTCCGTTTTCAGGAAAAAATTCTACGTTTTGTCTCGGTTACCAGGGGAAAGTTTTCTCCATTTTCAGTCAAAAAACATCTTTTCTTTCCGGCAGAATATCCCAAAAATATAAAGTTGTACTACCTCCGACGGCAACAAAAAACATGCAACGGACGGGGGAAGAAAAAAAGTGAAAAATCGTCAGTTTTTTTTGGAAAATTTTTGAAAAAATGCACGAAAAATTTTGCTTTTTTCTTCGAAAACATGGAAAATTCATTTTAAAATCAGTTTTTAGAATTTACCACCCTAACCGGACATTCTTCGCAACGACCTTGTTTGTGGTCCACCGCCACGACTCTTTCGTCTGCGAACCAAAGCTGGGAAACTCAACTCAAAATCGGTCAACTCAGCTCAATTCAACTCATTTTTCGAAAGAATTGAAACCAACTCTTTCAATTCAAATCTTTTTGAAAGAGTTGAAAAACAACTCTTCTCAACTCAGCTCGTTTCGGAAAGAGTTGAATTCAACTCTTTTTCAGTTCAACTCTTTTTAAAATGAGTTGAAAAAGAGTTGGAGTTGAGTTAAAGATCAACTCATTTTAAAAGAGTTGAATTGAAAAAGAGTTGAGTTGAGTCGAATTGGGCCATTTTTGCCCAGCCCTGCCGCGAACCGAAGGGTATAACATTTACTAAAAGAAGACACGCGAAATATAACCCGCTAAAAAAATTTACCTGGTCGAATATTATAACTTTGTACTTTCACAACGACTTGTAATCTTGTCATTGCTCCACCTTTTGATGTAACCAGACCCAGTTCACCGAACATGGGCACCAACGTTTGAAATACTTGTTCCAAATCTTGATACGTCTGAGAATTTTCTTCAGTCATTGGTAGATGACTAATCGGTGTTTCAATGCGCACTTTTCCATCTTCAAAGATTCGAAATTCACTGGGTATCCATTGGTACGTCAGGCGCAAGGGCATGGTAGGCTGCTGCTCTTCACTACTACTCGACCTTGAATCATCGGTGTCATCAGACAGTGGATTAAGTGGTTGGTCTGGCGGTGGTGGTACACTTGGTGGCCTACAAACCAACAGATCAGGATCAATAATGTCTTCGACTGGAGACGGATATTCATGAAAATCCTTGCGTTCTTCGTTCATTTTATAAAATACATTTAACAATCTTTCACGTGACTCCTCTACTATATGCCCCTCGCTGAGTGAGATGTTATTGTACACCAAAACGGGAAACTTCATATTACAATAACCTCCGTCACCATATGTCACAGGTTCATCGGGAAATGGCCTGTAATATCCGTCCTGATCAACGTGTATTCTCTTTAACCAGTCGTCCTCGGTGCTGGCACACTTTTCGTCTTCGTTTAACATGGCACGTTATTTTTAAAAAAAAAACAAACACAGATGTTGTTCTGTTGTAGGACACTTATTTCATAGTAAGTATATTTACACTTATCTTTTCAGCATGTAATTATTCAACGTTCTGTCATTAAACAGAAAACCTTGCAGTACATAAGAGTAAAAGAGAAAATGACAGAAGGCAAATAAAAGCACATGATTCATAAAAACAACTATTATTTTTTGAAAAGGACGAAAATTGCAGGGGTGGGGGAGGGGAATAACGTAAGGTAAGTCCGCGACGGATTCGAGTATTTTCTATACCGATTTGTCGCCCTTCGTCTGTAGTTTTTCTCCTTCGGCTGCATTCTAGAGCTCGATGTGCTCCATCTTTCTGTCGATTTAGAATCTAGGGACGTGCATCAAGTTTCGAGATAAAGATTAATACTGAATATTCCCGCTGGAGAAAACTTCAGACTTTTGTATTTCCTATCCAGATTTGCCTTCTGCCGGCCGTACTTTCTCTTACCTAGATTATCTTGTAGAGCTCGAAGCGCTGAATATTTCTATGTATTCACAGACCGGGGTTGTGTATCAGGTTTTACGGAGAAATATGAAAAACTCTTGCGGCCGGGTTCTTTAAAATTTGCAGCGGATCTGAAGGGAATTTTTTCTTAGCCAGCTTGTGCTGTAGGAGATCAACTAGCTGCATCTTTCTGCCGGTTATAGAATATGGGTATGACCACATTTTCTCGATTTCTTATGATTAAAACAGGGTCACAATGACTGTACGGTACCGCAACATCGTTATGAATTCGTGTAAAGGGATGGACGCAATAGAGGACCCCCTATAATACAAGACCCCCTTGAGCCAGCGGAGCGAAAACCCGCAATACAAGGCCACCCCTTTTTTAGTTTCTCGACAGTCTATTTTTAATCGTTTAAAAAGACCCATTTCGTCGAACTGTTCTGTTATCGACATACTCGGAATTTTTTTGAGAGCAGGCAGATATTTGGCTTTGTGAGCGGAAGGCGTTTCTTATCGCCTAAAATCCACTATTTTGATATTCACAATGAGAAAACTTCGAAAAGTTCGCGGTTTACAAAAAACTCCGCATAAAAAATCCTTGAGGTGATGCATTGCTCATCATTTTCTGACGAACGCAGATCGAATAATACAGCAGTCAATGCGCTTTTTCACGATGATCAATAATATCCTACTGATTTTTGAAAAAGTGGTCTGCAGGTGAAATGAGTTGTGAAAACCCTCAAAAATTTTGAGTCTTCGAAAATCTCCAGTTCTTAGTAAAAGCACTACCGCGATTCATCTCTTTAAACCAAGACGCAGCAACTGAAGATGAATATCTCCTGAAAAGCTGTGGTGCTTTGTGTCTTAGTGAAAGCCTGCGAAGGCATTCGACTACAGTGAACAAAAGAATTTTTATTTATACCCTCTTCGTATAAAAAATTGCTTTCCTTCTGAATGTAGCTGAGAAGATCCGCTATGCGCTCAGGCGATTTAGAGCTCCAAAAGATGCGATCAGTAAGCTAAAAATTTATATTCTAAAAAGACATCAAACGGCCATGCGTTTTGTTACTCAATTTTTCCGTCACACTGAGTACTAATTTTTTATCGTTTTGCGATTGCTTTTTACACTTTTTATAGCGTTTCCAATGAATCTCTAAGGCAAACGTGAAGCATACCTTCTTATGACGCTACAAAACATGCGCATCTCCTAATCGAGCCACCCCAATTGCAATAACAAACATACTCCGTGGTTTTTTTTGGGACGCAATATAAGACCCCCCTAAAACTTGTGAGCGCTCGGACACAATAGAAGACCCGGGTCCTCTATTGTGTCCATTCCTTTAAGGCTGTCTTGGAGCTTTGCGAAATATTAGCTCAGCCCAGCACAGGTCATTTGAACAAAGATATTTGAATGTGAGTCTAATAATGAGATTTTTCCTTAATAGATTCCATCTACAACTTTAACCTCGTTTTGTCATATAAGGCGAAACCTAAAGCAAAATTACAGTGAAATTTGTTTTTGACTTTATTATACATATTCGAGTTTGCCCTGACGCGCTGATTACGAATATGACCTTTAAAATTAAAAAAACAATGTTTCCTCAGGGAGAAACTTGCAAAATACTGAAAACCCCCAAAACTTCCAAAATCCTTAGCTTTTCGAAAAACCTTCATAACTTTTTTTTGAAAGCTGCTATTCGCTCAAACTTTTTTTGTTGGATTCCACATCAAAAACTGAGTCTAGCTCAACTACTTTCAAATTCAAAGACGGTAATTTGAAATGTTGGTGAAGCTCGAAACCGCAAAGGCTCAAAAACGAGACCCTTCCACCAAAAACCTAACTAGTTTTTCAGATTGAGAGCAAACCCATCGAATTTCATGCCATTCGAGAGCGCTATACTTGGGCTACAAATGTATGCATGGGTTTCAGAAAAAATCCGTTTTCGCTGAGAAACAAGGAAAATACCAAAAAAAACGGATTTTTTACTAAAATTCTTGAGTCATTGCCCCTTATCTCTGTCAAATCTCGCTTTAAAATAGTGAAACTAAGGTTTTCTGCGTAAAAAAAGGTTTGGCTGTCTTAATTGAATATCTTGGGCGTTTGAAAATCTCATAGGAGTTCTAAGAAAACTTGATTTCTCCGAAATTCCTGGTTTCTTGTGTAGCGTTTCCATCCACTGGAATTTTAAATGTTGTTATACATCTTGGCAGACTTTTTTATTTGGTGTAAAATTCAGCTTTCAGCAACACATTTTTCAGCCATCATAGGCTCTGCATAGAGGCCACTTTTGCTGGAAAATATCCAAAAACGGGACTTTTCTTGGAAAACTGTTTTGACCATAACCTTGTTTCCTATTGAACAACGAACCTGCGGTTTTCACCGCTGGAAAAAAAACAAAAACTAGACCAGGAGATGTGTGTCTCGTCACTAGCGTAATTACTTTTGTATGAAGTGGAAGGTTTCATACGGATTTACCCGTTGCTAACATCGTGTCAACTTTACCTAACACAACACCTATGCAATGCCGTAAACCGTTTGATAAACTTGATCGCACAAGCCGCATCTGTGGTTTCTACAGTGATGCAAACTACGAACTATGCCGTGGATAAATAAGACAGCCGAACGGATTTCCATTATTTGTAGTCACAGCTCGAAAGAGCGCAACTCCTGTTGTTACACTCGCTCCATTTAAGCATGCTAATCAAGAAGAATACGTTCAAAATGCTGTTGCTTATAAGGCGATTCTGGCAACAGTGACCCATATTCAAGAGTTGACTGATTGTAGAAATGTTCTTCAACGCATTTACATTAACTTTGGTAAATGGATGCAACAGCGAGTTGGAGATGCACCGCCGAAAGAATGTCATGCACATGTCAACCTCATCCTGGCACCTGAGCTCATCAATTGCTGCACAAAAGAAAAATTTCCAGTTCTTAAAGGTGCAATTCAACCGCCAAATAACTATCGTCTTGAAGATACTTTTACCCTACAGCAATATGTGAGTGGTCTAACACTTTTTTCAACAGCCGATTCGTTGCGAGACCTGCACAGACGTATCCAGGAGCTTGAAAAATCTAAAAATGACGTGACAATGTCTCAAGAGGAACAGCTGCCACGATTATTAGCACGATTGCGGAGAGTGCTATAGTTCAACGAGTCAATGAAGACTCTACCGAACCGTCGGAAATAATTGCAGCCGATCAACAGACACAGCGTAGTGACGATGAAGAACACATCGCCAATAGTTTTCTTCCGGTGCTAGATCCAGAGATTTAGGCGTTGGAAAGTAGAGACTAAAAAGAACTCTATTAATGTGCTTAGTTGTATGCTTTTGTTTGTGCCGTGTTTTGCTTTTGTCGTCATTTTCCCTTCTTTGTTTTCTTTGTTTTCTGGTTTACTAACTAATAATACCTTTATGATTTTGGGTCTACTCTGGTGTAAGTAGGAGACGGCGAGAAAGAGAATTCTTGGCTGACCTTACAAAACCAGCGAGCACCGTATTTGAACAGTAGTAAAATTTGGCCCAGTGCAAAAAGGCCCTTTTATTGATCCAATCTTGATCGGTTTGACGACTGAGAAAAATAACAGCTTCCTGTCCTGCTTGAGTCACTTTTAACTCAAATGAATGAGTAGCTATACTTGGCAGAACTTTTTCAGACTCTTTTTCTGATAAAAACTCAGTAATATGAACTTTTTTTAGATACCCTTCTTCTTGTGCCTTACAGTCTGAAAACTTTCTAAGAAATGTTTTCCCAACTTGTGTTTCTATGTAAGGTGCACCTAAAGCAAAATTACAGTGAAATTTGTTTTTGACTTTATTATACATATTCGAGTTTGCCCTGACGCGCTGATTACGAATATGACCTTTAAAATTAAAAAAACAATGTTTCCTCAGGGAGAAACTT